ATATGTGTGTATTATCTATTTATCTATTTATCTATTTTTTATAATATGTGTGTGTGTATGTGTAAATAAATCCCGCTTCCTCAATTGGAAGGGAGCGGGAAAGCCGAAAGACAAATGGGGAAATGGACGGACTCGGGCCTATATCTCTCAGATTCTCTCTTAGTTATCATATACGAATAAATATGTGTGCGATTGTGAGAATAAAGAAAAAAGTAAGATTCGTGTGAATAGACTCGTTTGTAAATAGATAGATAGATAGATAGATAGATAGATAGATAGATAGATAGATAGATAGATAGGTAGGTAGGTAGGTAGGTAGGTAGGTAGGTAGGTAAGTGCGTTTGTGCTTTTAATTTCCCTTTATTGGCGTTCATTTCCCATTCTCCCTACTTTACAGGAGACCTGACAAGTGCCATGCGCGACGCCGAATCTGTTGTAGTACTGGACAACCGAAACCCTGTGAGTGTTTGAAAGATACCCCCATTTTTCTTTTAACAATACACTCATAAACACACAAACACACACACACACATACACACACATACTCACACACACATATACATACACACACTTTCACACTCATACACATACACACATTCTCACACACATACGCAAGTTATGATATGTTTATATCATCCCGAATTAGCTGACTCAGCAAAAGTATATATTGTAAGCCTTAACCCCTTCAATGCCACAGGTAAATACGCCACTGTGCCGGGGGAAATCCTATGAACCAAGGCTTCTCAGAGGTGACCCCACGCTACTTCCCATAACTTTTTTTATTTATTAATATTTCCTCTTGAATTTCTGCATGTACATTCTACATTGAACCACGTTTCTATTGACATAACGTTGGGGGGGGGTTTCAATGAGAGATAGATGGAGAATAGTTGGACTTAGTAACGTGATGCCAAAACACAACACCATCAAACAACATAAATAACGAACATTCCAGTAATGATAAACTGAGACCAAAACAAAAGTGGAATACATGTTGTGTGAGTGTTTGCTGATAAAGCGGAAGTGATAAAAGGTTTTTCCTACCCTATAAAACGCTCGTACAATCCACATATATGTAAACATGTAAGCCCATCAGTGTTTACTGCCAGTAAATCATTTTTGTGTGGTAAATGTGTTAGATCTGTGCCTGTGCTGACTGTTGTTCTTGTAATCATAACACACTGGGCTAAAAATAAGTTAGGCCTAGCTGGTCTGACGCGGTGGACGTGCATCGTCTTGAGTCGGTTCCATTGTCTATATCAGGCAAAAATGTGGCCATTAGCCATTAGCCTGGCCTGGAAGTGATAGTTTTGGTGGACGCGTAGATTTTAGCCGCACAAAATAACATTACAGTAATCAGATTTTGATAAAAATCAGTGTTGTTACTAATGTCTTTGCTCCTGCTGTTGTTAAGTAATTTCGTACACTGCCAATTTTGTAACCTCTTCGCTGTCGCGCCCGTAGAATTTATGGGCCTGAACCGTGTAGCGCTATGCCTCTAGCCCGTAGAATTTACGGGACTCTTGACAGAGATTGTTTTGATACCAATTAAAAGGGAAGCTACTGCTAAAATATTGTAATGCTGAACATGTGAATAAATACATTTGTTTCTGCTGTGTAGATCTATAGAGACATAAGTATAGGTATAGACGAGACTGCCTTTTATTGTATTACCCAGAGGCTAGAGGCTATCCCTGGCATACATTCTAGCTCATACGAGCCGGGCGACCTGCTCTAAGGTATCGAATAAAAGGTGTGTGTGTGT